TTCCTTTCCTTCCTTCCTTCCTTCCTTCCTTCCTTCCTTCCTTCCTTCCTTCCTTTCTTTCTTTCTTTCTTTCTTTCCCCTTCCTTCCTTCCTTCCTTCCTTCCTTCCTTCCTTCCTTCCTTCCTTCCTTCCTTCCTTTCATTCATAACGATTTCTTGAGCACTTACTCTGAGCTAGGCACGATGTAGGTGCTGGGGCCACAGCAGTAAACAGGCCAGATGGAAACCTCAGCCCCCAGCGGGTTTGTATTATAATGGGAGCGAGAGATGATAAAAAAGAAATAATTATGACACAGGTGACACAGCAGATGGCAACACACTGAGAAGGGACAGGGAGGTGGGGGTGGAAGTTCTGAAGAGCTGGCCATAGGGGAGTTGACATTGTAGTCTGGTAAGAGCCTCGTGAAGGAGGTGTTATTTGAAGATGGGTGGCACACGAGGGGTTGGTCCATGTGGACAGTGTGGGGAGGAGGCATTCCAGAGGCCACAGCAAGTACAAAGGTCCGGGGGCAGGAGGGTGTCTTTCCTGTTTGGGTCACCCAGGGGGCCATTCTGGCCTGAACAAAATGATCCTGAGGGAAAGCTGCCGCAGACAAGGACAGGGGACAGGGGCTGAGCGTGGGGGCCTTGCAGGGTCTGGAAGGACTTGGGTGTTTAGTCTGAGTGCTCTGCAGAACCACACAGAGCTTTGTGCAGAGGTTGGCGGGGCTGCCCAGGACAAGGCGGGTGCCTGCCTGGCACGGGGTGCTGGGCGGTGAGGAGCCTATGGTGGGGAGAGGGGACCAGGGTGGAAGCAGAGCAGCTGGTTGGGAAGCTGCTGCAGGAATCGGAGCAGGTGCTGATGGCCGGGGCCGGGCCCTGGCTGTGGGGTCAGTGAGGTCGGAGTGGGCGTGGCCGGCGTGAGCGCCAGGGCTACGCCTTGCTAGTTTCTGGGGACTCCTCAGCCCCTCATTCTCAATCTTCTGAGCGGGGGGCAGCCCCACACGAAGCCCACCTCGATTCTCTTCATATCCGAACCTGAGCAACGACTTACAACAGTGACGTAGTTAAACTCACGAGCTCCAACCTCAGGCTAGTTTTCTTTTCTTTTTGATTTAAGTTATGTTTAAAAATTTACATCCAAGTTGGTTAGCATGTAGTGCAACAGTGATTTCAGGAGTAGGTTCCTTAATGCCCCTCACCCATCTAGCCATCACCCCTCCCACAACCCCTCCAGTGGCCCTCTGTTTTTCTCCATATTTAAGAGTCTCTTATGTTTTTGTCCCCCTCCCTGTTTTTATATGATTTTTGCTTCCCTTCCCTTATGTTCATCTGTTTTGTATCTTAAAGCCCTCAGATGAGTGAAGTCATATGATATTTGTCTTTCTCTGACTAACTTCACTTAGCATAATACCCTCTAGTTTCATCCACGTAGTTGCAAATGAGAAGATTTCATTCTTTTTGATTGCCGAGTACTACTCCATCGTATATGAAACTGGCTCCACATCTTTCTAGCTAGAGACCTTGGCAAAGTTAGATACATTCCGCGAGCCCCTTTCGTCTGTAAAATGGAAGTTTCATGAATGCCTGTTTCATCTGTTAAATGGGATCATTATCGAACTGGACCCATGAGAATTTCATGGGGCTCGTGTGAGACACGCATATAGTAAATCCTCAACGAACGTTAGTTTTATCACCCGGGGACAAAAAAAGGAGCAGCCCTCCTTCTTCCCCTTTCCAGATCCTAATTTTCACTTCAGTTAAAACTTCCATAACTTCCATCAGCATAGGAAAGGAGGGGCCAGTATAGAATGACCGAAGGAGCAGGGGACGTGGGTGATTCCAGAAACAGGCTGGATCCAGAAACACTGCAGGAAGCAGTGTGGTTAGCCGGAGCGAAGCCTGGAGGGAAGGAGAGCCCTAAGCACACCTGTGCCGGGCAGATGACAAATGGATAGGAGGGGACATCGCCCTGTAACCGCTTGCCTTGAACGAGACCAAGGGGAACGGACCCGTTTTCCCCTCACGGGCCATGCGCATCTCATTTGTCATCTCGTTTCATCACGGAGTGATCCCAGAGTCTGCAAGGGCTGGGCAGGGTCTCCTCAATCCAAGCCTGGCCAGACCGGGCCTCTGAGGACTGGGAGGGGCACCTGCGTCGCCCTTTGCAGCCCTGGTGAGCATGCGCAGGAGGGACGGCCCCAGCTGTGGATCTGCCACTGCCGGGGGGAGAGGGGAACCCATGATCATGCTCACCCCAAGATTTCGCACTTTACGTCTCCTTTTTCTCTCTACATCTCTCCTCAGCTCTCCTGTTTTTGATTTATTGTGTTTGCCTTTTGATTTCTAGCCTGTACTCTCTCCCCTATGCTAACACACACACACACGCACACGATGATTTCTGCTGCTGCTGACAATTCCACAGGCTAAAAGTGTTTACCTGGACAGAGGTGTTCCGGAACATTTCCAAGAAAAAGAATTCGTTCTGTCTCCCAAGGCCCCTCAGCTGAGACAGTCCGGCAGGCCTTAGGACACTTCTGGCTAGCAGGGACCTCTGATAGCTAGGCCACTCAGGAAGGGGGCCAGGACGCACTCTGTTAGTGTTGGGAGGGTGGGTTCAGGCAGCTTCTGAAAAGCAGTTCCGTAGTGAAAATCCAGAATCCTTAAAAGTGTGCACAGCTTTACCGCGGCAAAGCCTGAATTTAAGGATACCGCCAGATGGTTTTCAAAAAAGACTTCTCTATAAGGAAGCATGTTACTTACAATAATGAAAAACTAGAAATAACTGCAATGTCCAACAATAGGGGATTTGTTGAAAAGATACACCCATGCAATGGAATACCGTATAGTAGTAAAACATCAAGTTCTAGAAGGTGCAATAAATGGGAGAAAAGTTTACAACATAGTGGTCAAATAAAAAAAGTAGGTTATAGGCCCAAATTTATTCTATATTTGTATTCTATAAGCCCAAATTTATTTGTATTTTATTTTGAATTAAAAAAATTTTAGCCCACATTTATTTTTGTAAGTGTATTTATTTATTTTGAGCAAGAGAGAGAGAGAGCGTGAGTTGGGGAAGGGCAGAGAGAGAGGGAGAGAGAGAGAATCCCAAGAATCCCCACCTGATATGGGGCTCAAACCCACCAACTGTGAGATCATAACCTGAAATGAAGTCAAGAGTCGATTGCTCAACTGACAGAGCCACCCAGGTGCCCCAGATCCCAAATTTATTTCTAAATTTAAATTTGAGTATGTGCGTAGATTAACAATTAAAGAATTTATCAAGATATGAAGTGTTTCAGCATTTGCAGTACAAGTGATAATTGATTTTCTTCTTTGTGCTTTTTGGTAGGTTGGTAGCTAAGTGTAGACTGGAGCCAGACTACCTGGATTTAGATCCCTGGCCTACCACATACTCACTGTGTGGCCTTGTATAAGTTACTTAACTTATCTGTGCCTCACTTTTTCCCTTATAAAATGGGGATGATGATCATGAATAATAGTATTGGTCTCATAAGGTTGTTGTAAGCATTAAATGAGTAAATACCTGTATAGTACTTAGTATAGTGCCTGCTCATAGTACACACGCTTTTTAAGTGTTATCTATTATTTTCAAAATTTGCTTTGGTGAACACTGAAAACTTTTATACTCAAGGGAAAAAAAGGAATAATTAGTTTGAAACGAAGGAAAGGGGCCAAGAAAAGTAACTATCACTCTAAAACCCACCCACTGTCTGCTCCAAAGTTGATACTAAGGACAGAAATTGGATAATTATCCTTGTAATTTACAGGCCAAATTCACTTTGGTCCAAATTGCCTAGAAAAATTAGGGAAAAGAAATAACTTTTAATCAAATGACCTGGATGGAGGGTCAATACCCTTTGTGAAGTGGGTGGTCCTATGGCTTGCTGGCTGGAGGGAGGACGTTGGGAGAAGGCTCAGGGGTCTGGGTGGAGGAGAAGATGGGAGCAGGTGGTCCAGACAGGAGAGTTTCCCTTTTCCAGCAAAGTTCTGGTCTTGCACTGCCTGAGCTAGATCATTCAGCTCCGTGATCATTCTACAGGTGTTTTTTTGCAGTGCCTGCTATGGGCGATTTTAAAGAGGCTACATCTTTTGATATATAAAGACCATTGATTCAATTATCCAAAAATAATAGCTACTAATTTTTGACCGCTTTCTTTTTATGGGTGCTGTGTTCTAACAACACCCACCATGAATTTTCTCATTTAGTCTTTACTAACCCTGTCAGGTCAGTGGTAATAGCATCTTCGTTTTATAGATGAGAAGCCTGAGCATGGAGAGTTAACTGACACAGGGTCGGAAAGCTTACACGTGCTGTGTTTCACATCCCAGGACACCTGCTTTGAGTCACAAGGTTTAACACCGTTCTGCCTCCATTCAGCTTCCTTTGGCTCTAGAAATCAGAAGAGGCCAAGTGTCTTCAAAGAGCCCTCATTACAGTTCTTTCCTCGTGTCTCTGCGACCTGACTCCTCCCTTCCCCCCCTCCAACTCCTCATTTGTTTCATCCTGTTCTTTGGAGTTGGGAAACACGTTTTCGAATAGCATGAAGACAATTGCTTTGGTGGTTGGCGTTTTCCTGCATTGTACTCCTGCCTCTAAAGACATGAGAGGCACAGGTGACCAGCACTTAACTTATTTCTATGGAGACACATAAGTCTTTTTAAGTTAAACATTTTTTTTAATTGTGGGAAAACATGCATTAACATAAAACTTACCATCTTAACCACTTTTACGTGTATTGTTCAGTAGCGTTATGTGCATTCACCATGTTGGGCAAACAACCTCTGGAAGTCTTTTCATCTCGAAAAATTAGAACTCTGTGTCCATTCAGCCTAACTCCCCTCTCTCCCCTCTTTCCCAGCCCCTGGCCACAACCATCCTATTTTCTGTGTCTATGAATCTGACGACTTTAGGGATCTCATATAAGTGGAATCATATATTATTTTTTTGTGACTGTCTTTATTTCACTTAGGATAATGCCCTCAATCATATTGTCATGTGTCAGAAATTCCTTTCATTTTAAGGCTGAGCAGTGTTCTACTGTGTGTATGCACTGCAACTTGGTTATCTATTCATCCATCAGTGGACACTTGGGTTGCTTCCGGCTTTGGTTGTTGTGAATAACGCTGCTTTGAACATAGCTGTGCAAATCTCTTAGAGACCTTCCTTTCAGTTTTTTTGGGGTGTGGACCCAGAAGGGAAATTGCTAGGTCATATGGTAATTCTCTGTTCAGTATTTTGAGAAACCGCCATGCTGTTCTCCACATTGGCTGCTCTGTCTTCCATTTCTTTACATCTCTCCCCGTCTTAGAGTTCACAAGGGTCCCAGTTTCACTGTGGAGGAGCGTTTTTAACCGTGGTACCCTAATCCCCTCTCATTTCTCTCGGGGCACAGGTCAGTCCATTGTGGGCTGCAAGGCCATCCTCATTGAGGACCAGGTGTTCGTGGTGGTGGCCCAGCTCTTCGGCGGCTCCCACATTTACAAATACGACGAGAGCTGGACCAAGTTTGTCAAATTCCAAGACATCGAAGTGTCTCGCATTTCCAAGCCCAACGACATCGAGCTGTTTCAGATCGAGGATGAGACGTTCTTCGTCATCGCGGACAGCTCTAAAGCCGGGCTGTCCACAGTGTATAAATGGAACAGCAAAGGATTCTACTCCTACCAGTCTCTGCATGAGTGGTTCAGGGACACGGATGCAGAGTTCGTTGACATAGACGGGAAGTCGCATCTGATTCTGTCCAGCCGCTCCCAGGTCCCCATCATCCTCCAGTGGAATAAAAGCTCTAAGAAGTTTGTCCCCCACAGTGATATTCCCAACATGGAGGATGTACTGGCCGTGAAAAGCTTTAGAATGCAGGATGCCCTCTACCTTTCCCTCACCCGCTTCATTGGGGACTCCAGGGTCATGAGGTGGAATAGTAAGCGGTTTGTGGAGATCCAGGCTCTTCCATCCCGGGGGGCCATGACCCTACAGCCCTTTTCTTTTAAAGATAATCACTACCTGGCCCTGGGGAGTGACTATACATTCTCCCAGATATACCAGTGGGATAAAGAAAAGCAGCTGTTCACAAAATTTAAGGAGATTTATGTGCAAGCGCCTCGTTCCTTCACGGCTGTCTCCACTGATAGGAGAGATTTCTTTTTTGCATCCAGTTTCAAAGGGAAAACAAAGATTTTTGAACATATAGTCGTCGACTTAAGTTTGTGAAGGTGTGACTGGTGAATTTAAAAAGATACATAGCCCTAGCTCTCACAGGAGAGTGACCAAGAAGTGAATATAAAAGGAAGCCAAGTTCAGAGCTCTGAAATTAAAACAGCTCTGGGGGGATAGAAGTTTTCAAAATTCTAGAACTCACATTTTAATCAGGGATTGCATTTATTGGCTAATTGCATGACATGTCCGATCTCCCATTTAAAAAGACATCTTAAAGCCTGTTGTCACTGAGAAAAGAGTACAGCATTAACTCTTAACCATCTAGGACAGTAATGTGCTTTTTTTTTTAATGAGGAAGGAGAAAGTTGGATAAGATGGGACAGCTCTTATAATGAAATAAACAAACAAACAAAAAACAAAAAGACCAAACTACGGGCCCTTCTCATTCCATTTTAGCAGTCTTTTTGGTAAGAACTCTTAAAGCCAAAGTCAGCTGAAAAGATTTGCTGATGATTCGTTTAAAAATCTGGTAACACTCAGCAATGCTATTTTGAGCCATTCCAGTTTCCTGAATCCCCCTTAATAGCAAAATGTTGGCTATTTCATTGGCTCACAAGGATGCGCGTCATGGGTATGTTAACAAAATAATGTTGGACATCGCTTCCTTTGCCACAAAGAGAATACTCTGCTGATGCATATCGAAGCCCAGCACAGGCTGTAGGCCCATGAGCGATACAGAGGCATTTTCCCCTCTTCCTTGTGGTTCAAAGCCGACCCCCGGGGTGGCCGGAGCAATACCCTTGTTAGATGCTCTCCATGACCCAGCTGCTTCCCTGAACCCATTCTTTTGAGCTTGTGGGTAACCAGCAGACAGGCCAAAGACTGAATGGTGCTTTTTATCCATCTTTCAAAGCAATAGAACAGGTATTTCTATCTGATGAGCATTTGGTAGAATTTTTGGAGCAAGATTTTGTGGAATCAAAGAGGACTTTTACACAAGTCTCGATGTACTTTGAAAACCTAGAGGTGGCCCTTTGATTCGTGCATGGCTTTGCCCTCTGGGCAACTTAATCTTACAAGTCATTGAATACCAACCTACCGATCTGCCCACCTGCCGACCTCCCTACTCCTACAACGGTCCCGCTTTGTTGATTTGCCAGTGTTGCTGCTGCAAGCGCAGCCCTCCGAGAGAGGCTGAGGCACCAGATGGCAGAACCCAAGGTGCTCATGACACTAGTGCCCCTTCCTGTCCCAGGAGTGTAGTAGAGGAAAGCCCCACGGGGCTCAGATGCTGACATGGGGCCATATGCTGGCAAAGGCTCATTCCCAATAGATTGGGGGTCTCAGGCCCATCAACAGGGACCAGCTTTGCAATGAGACCCACTGAGTCCCACAGACCAGGTCCACACCCAGGGAGCCAGAGGACCTATTTCCAAATGGGCTTCTCTGGTGTGGAGAATGGAGAAGCCCTGGGGCTCTGGTTTTGTGGAAGGTTCCCAGAGAGTGCTCAGCCTGATTAGCTTGATTCTCTTCAGAGAACATGAAGTGGATTTGGGGATGGGCTCTGAAAGAGCAACCGGCCACATCTCTTGTAGCCCTGAAGTCAGCACAATCAAAATGTACTGTAGTGTTATTTTTTCACAATTGTTTGCCAAGTCATGAGTAGGTAGATGTTTGGCCACAGATATGAATGCATTGTTTCTGGAGTTCAGGCAATGCAGATCAAGGCAGCAAATCGCATCGATGTTACAACTGCACTCCTCGGTCCATTCTGGGACTACAGGCTGAGTGCTTTCAGCCGAGGACACCAGGGGTTTTAAGGAAGGAGGTCACCCACACCCAGTAGCCTTGCTGCTTGAAAGTTTCCTACCAAGCACCGACCCCACAGGAGAAAGTGGTTTGTTTTCTTTTTTTTTTTTTAAGCGTGAAATCACTCTTGCGCATTCTTTTGCCTTCCTGGTTTATTCGAATTGACTACAAATGCCCCGATCTCCACATCGGAGGCCGAAAGTGGGGCAGCCCTGCCACCCCTCCGGCAGTTAGGATGGGCAAACAATTCTTTCTGGCACATGGAACCTCCCAGAAGCCTGGGCGGAAAAACAGGCACTTGGCAAACAATGTCGGGGACATTTAGACAGTCCCCGCACTTGTGCCAGGTCGTGATGACGTCCCTGACTGCAGCCGCTTGTGGAGAAGGCACTCAGGGCACCTCTCCACAGGGCTGCCTCTCCCGAGCAGGGCACCAGCCTCCCAGCTGCATGCTGGGGAGAGGGGTCCTTGCTGAGTCCAGATGAGACGTTGGCTGGTGGAAGGCAGGTTGAGGGAGCTGGGGGCAGGGTGAAGGCGAGGAGGTGGGTACACCACTCAGACGCCACCAGCTTCTCTTTTCTTTTCCTTTTTACAAGATAAGACCAGAGCAGAGTCTGCAGCCTACAGGAGTCTCCGTGCTGAGGGAGTAGATATTTGTTCTGGCCGACGTGCTAAAGGAGCATAGATGTTCTTGGCACGAGGTGGTAGAAGCTTTGCTTCATTAATCCCACTGCTTTCTCCTAAGAATCCCTCAAGTTTTAAACAATTTCTGCAAGAAGCTTTTTCCAGTAATAATGTAAGACAGAAGGGGGGAAAAAAAAGCAACCAACAACACCAGAAACCCAAAGCAGAGAGATATGTGGGACACCCCCCCTCCTGTGGAGATGGTTCTAGGAGGTGCTGTTCTTATCCATGACTTCCCATCCCCCATTGGTTCGCATCTTGTCAGCTTGTTTGTTCTTTACAGTCTCTGTGACTAGGCTCAGCCCTCCAGGTAGCCATGCCACGCAGCCCTAAAGCATGGGATCAGGAACAGATCTCTCACGAAGACAAAAAACAAGCCTTAGGTGTGAATGGTACCGTGTGCTCAGGCAATGGATAAGACCACCCCGCGTTTCAGCAAAGCTTTAGATGTTTGCGGTGTACATTTGCGTCCAGCTCATCTGTTTACTAAATAGTTCTTCAGCTTATTGGTGGGCAGGATTCTAATTTCCGAGAGAAGGAAGTAGGTGCAAAAATCGAAGTCACTTGCCTGCTCAGGACCATCCAGTAGTGAGTGGCCAAGGCAGAGCTTTCTCCCCAAACAGCAGGCTTTGTGTTTTCTTTGTGATAGTCTGACATGCCTTCCAAATAAAGACTTTTTTATCATGATTCAGAATATAGCAGCACCTTGAGATAAAACTAAAAAATGCAGCAAAATATGCATAGCCAGGAGGAGGATAATGCTGAATAGACACCATTTAATCAACCAGTCCATTTAACGATTCAACACTACGGAACTACTACAACATGCAAAGCCCCACTCTTGAAAGACTTCCAGAAGTTTCAGATAATTTTCTCTTCTAAAGAGGGTTTCTAGCTGGCACGGCTGCCTCTCTACCCTCTCTTCCCCTCCCCCCACAGTTCTGGTGGGGATGAGGTCGAGACACATCTGGTTCTTGTCACAATGTCCACAAGATACACAAGAAGGCTTCTAAGAGGGGAAAACTTAAAACTCAAAGGCACGAGTGATGATGAATTGCTCCAGGTCATAATCAGCCTTCGGGGAGCACACTGGAAATGCCAGGGTTGCATTTTTCTTCCCCGTGGAGTGAGAGGCTGTGTATTTTTAGGAAAGAAATCAGCGTGGGATGCTGGAGGTTTGGTTGCCAGGAACACTTACGATGGAAATTTCTCTGACCGGGGTATAATGAAAGAGAGATGAAGGTCTACAGGAGGGGAGTCTATTTGCATGTGCCGTTAGCAGGCTTTCTGATTCTTCTACAGAGGTATCAGCCTCTCGCTCATAGTTTTAGAAAAGAGTTCTTTAATTAGGCACTGGCCAAAGATTTTGTTAAACAGAGAGCAATAGTCCTGTTGTTGATTCAGTGAGTAAGGTGGTCCCGACTCGTGACAATTGAAGGGAATGGGCAGAAAAGCAGAGCAGATGGCTCTGGAGGAAACTCTTTTGGGAAAGCAGAAATACGATGGAAGAAAAAAAGGTCATCATGATTTCCTTTGCCTCAGCCAGGCAAGTAGAGAGTGAAACTGCTAGGCAGATTAACAGCCAATTTGTAATGAAGAGAGCCAGTTGATTTGCAAATTGAAATACGAACTGTATTGTAAAGAGACTGAGATCTAAACCTAGTGAGGCATTCTTATCCTTACATTATTTCATTACTTGTTCCAGAATCTGCCTTTTTTTTTTTTTTTTCCAGTAGGAAACTATGCATTCCCAATCAATCCCTTTGACTATCAGGAATGTATCAGAACTGTGATAAAAATAAGCCAATATGCCATTTGGTACCATTTTTATGTATCTTAGATGCATAACTTAGGTAAAATAAGAATAGTTTATATGTATATGAAAGCAAATTTTGCAGTATGCAAGCTACAATGGATGCATTTTAAGGCTAAATATATAACTCGTTTTGGTAAATACAGTTAAGAAACAACATGCCTCCTAAATCGATACATTCTGTACATCTATGAATAAAAAGTAGCTCATACCTAACATGGCTCTGATCTCTGGTCTGCTTGCATATGGATTTACCCACTTGAGTTACAGATTTGAGGGCATGACGGGCTATTGTGGAGGGGCAGAGTATGCCCATTTATCTTTGCGGCTTACTTCCTGTTTAAATGGAAGATGGATACTGCAGGGGGACTTAGGCTTCTACCTACACACTAAAAAGTCATTAAAAGGTCACTGAAGGACTTTACAGCTGCACCTCCACCTGATCTGCACAATCATACCCTTGACAGATTGAAAAAGAACTCTAGGGATCTTTGGGCATCCTCTGATTCTGCACGGTGACAAGATGGGATCCCATGGATTGGATGGAACCATGAACAAATTGAGGGCAAGACTTGTTCTCTGCGTGTCTGGCCTCTAACCCGGCACACAGCAAGTGGGCAGTGAAAGTTTGCCTCGTGTCTCTACGTCTTTAGACCCCTTTGGTTTCGTTGGACAAATGAAGGGTCAAAACCTCAAATTACACATGACTGTGTACTTACTGTGTGTCAATTACATTGATATGCTGTGGAGCTTTTTAAAAAGTACAAGGGCCGAGTTCTTGCCCTCAGGGGACTTAAAGCTAGTTGAAAGGAAGAATGACCATCACAGGAAGCTATTGTGACAACACTAGGTGTAGTGTTTCTGCATCACAAAGCAGTGTGTGGCTAATTGTGCAATGAAAGAAACAGGCAGTGATAACCAATTATTTAACTAGTGGTATATAGCAGGTGGGTCGAAGTAATTTTCTATTGCTATGTAACAAATGACCACAAATGTAGGGGTTTAAAACAGAACATGGCCATTAGCTCACAGTCCCCATGGGTCAGGAGTCCAAGCACAGCTGAGCTCAATCCTCTGCTCAGGTCTCAAGACGCTGCCATCAAGGTGTCAGCCAGACTGTGTTCTCATCTGGAGGCTCAAAT